ATTTAATTACCTTTCAAAAGTTTTATTATAAATTTTACCGTATAATATATACGTAGGAAGTTAGGCTCCATAACATTTTTTTTTTCTTTATAACTTTTTTTCCTGAATTTTTTTGGGAATTTAGTCTATATATGAAAATTGAAAGAACAATGATTAGAACATTACAGGAAAGTTTCATCAAAATCGTTAGAGCCGTTTTTGCGCTACAGTCTATAAAAAAACATGTTTTTCATTTATTGCGTGCAAGCTATTGTGCATGGAGCACCGAATTTCTGTCACAGGCATCAGTAGTCAAAATCCTACAAAATAAAAAAAGAAGCAACAAAATCGGTTCAGTAGTTCCCGAGAAAATCTTTGCACAGACAGACCAATGGCTAAAAATGTGTTTTTTGGACTCAGGGTGCTCTGAAACGGATAGATCCATCGAAAACCGCATGTCGGAAATTTGACCCGATTGCAATACTTTCCTTACCTAGTATAGGTAGGAAAGTAAAAATAGAGTTTGCTTTTGTTAAAACCATTAAAGAGGACTTTTGAGCGACTTAACTCAGCTAAGGAGTGGGGGAAGATGGGTAGTGGTGGGGGAAATGTTAGGGTGGGGGAAACTTGTGGTACAGCGTCCCCCCCCTGAGAAAATTCCTGGATCCGCCACTGCATCAAAAGGCTGTAGCCAAAAGTCTCCTCATTCCACAGTAATTGTATTTACGTATGTAATAAAGAATATTGTTATATTCAAATAAAATTATAGATAAATATGTTTTATTTAAAAAATATTTGTTTTCTTTAAAATTACAAGTCTAAATACATATATTTGCTATTTTATTCACGTCAGTAAATACGAATATGGTTGTATTTACAGGTGCGGTAAAGTATATTGCTATATTTACATACAAGTATGAATAAATATTCCTTATTACTAAACAAATAAAATTTAAAATGGTTGTATTTTTTTTGGTTGTATAAAGAATATTGTCTTATTCACATAATCTTAAAAATAATTATTTTTATTAATTAAACAGTCACATTGTGGGGGTATTTTTATTTTTCAGTTTTTAATGTTATTTGGTTTTTCTATGATGCTATTTTTTATATTTTATCTAGCCTGATGAAGGACCGAAAGCGGTACCAAGAAAGAATAAACAATTATACACAGGAAGGCAACGCCTTTTTATTGAATTGTATTTCTTTCCAGTAACATCAAGACTCAATTAAAAAAAAAAAACTACAATCATAAGAATGTTACATTACTTACCTCAATGAAACAAAAAACTTCACAACTAATGAAAATATAAAAAGTCATTTATTTTGTTTAGTCAGTCACTTTAAACTTAAAACTACAATTTAAAAGTAATGATTCTCGATATTATTTTGATTCTGGCATTAAGATATGAGAACATAGACCTAATTAGATGAATTTTTATTTTATATGTTAACAAGTACGTATTAGTGCAATAAATTTTATTGCCAGAAACAATTAAAATTTTTTATATATAAGATGAGCTCTATTGTAAGCCATATATGTATATTATATTATTATGATAAAAAATATAAATTTATGAATTGACAACAGCTGAATATCTTTAATTATCTTAATAATGAAGCGAAACGATGGTAATGTGTTTGGGTCATCCGCTAATATTTTTATAACTCTGTTTTTGAGTGAACGGCTGGAACGGCTTTTAAGTTTCATGACTCAATCTACTGAACAACTGTATTCAAATAATCCGCTAAAATTAAAATAAAAAAAGCTGTTCTAGTTAGGTGCCTAATACACCCCCACCGAAACTCATGACTCTTTAGGATGTTGACACGCACTGATACATGGAACGAAATCTATTTGCTAGGAGCTGTAATCTGTGGTGAAAGGCACCCGACTATTGCAGCAAGTTGAAAAATACGTAGATGTCAATTTCCCTATCAATCTACATTTCCTTAGGATAGATAAAAATTCCCGATTTATATAGTCTTTTTAAGGTAATACGCGGGTAAAACTTTATGTTCGGAGCACATAAAATGTTTGAACCTCAGTCATGAATGCAAAGCTTCCCTTATGAAAAAGCGGTTTTAACTATTCTCATTTTGAATAATTTACTTATATTTCTTGTTGATTATATTGGAAAATTTAACAATTTATAAACTACTGAACCGCTTAGGCAAAACTTTAAATAACTGATTAAAACATTTTAAAAATAAATAGAAGTGCACAACGTGTCAGCGTCATTCAAGTCACATTTTCCTTTATTTTTGTTATGAAAATAGGTGCCTAAGTACTTTCTTGGGGATTTAAATATAATTTTTAAATCATTTAAGCTGTTGAATATCTTTTTTATGTTTTGTTTTTGAAAATTTTATAATTTAGTTCTGAATTAAATTTATAGAAATGTCGGGATGTAGAGGGGGGTGGAAGAAAATTTTGAGAGTTTAGAAGGAACTTTTCTCACATCAATTCAATGTACAAATTTCTAACACCATACATTAATTTAGAGGGACCATGGAAATGCGCAAAGCGTTAAAAAGTGATAAAATGGTTAGTGTCAAAGTGCATATCTCAAACTCCAACTTAATGTAAATATAGGGCGGGGTGGCTGAGCGAGCTAACACGTGTAAAAATGGCAACAATGCAGCATGGTAAACAGAAGTTTACAAGATATAATAATTACGAGTTCCCATCCCAGGGCCGTAGGGCCTTTAAACTCTGACATTAATCCTCTTTCCTCTTCTGGAGAGAAAGTAAAAAAAAAATCTCGATTTATATACAAAACTATTTGATGTAAAGTGACTCTCTTTAAAAAAATAATAATAATAAATTTATATATTATACGTTTTCAGAACTCCCATATATATGTGCAAACCATTACTCGAATATACTTTTCATAAAATAAAATAAAAAGTGTAACATGAGTATAGGTTTCGATAAGAGCTTACGTGACACTATAGGCAGCTGTACTCATTATTGTTTATTTGAGGCGTTTGGTTTCAAAACAGATTACATCCATTTTCAAAAATGCTTTAGATAGGTATATAACCACTTTTGATAGGGAATCGAATATTTTGGTATTGATTTTGGGAAGATATAAATGGTTTTGAAACAAATATATCTAAGTTTATTAACATAAACATTTAACACTTGTGAGAAATAAAAAAATTTTTTTTAAAAATTATTTCTTTTAAAATAATCTATTTTTAAACCAAACGCCTCATGTGAAACAGTAGTATTTACGGGTAAAAAACTAAGAAAATAATGAAAAAACGATGAAAATCTGAAAAACCGGGAAAAATAAAAAAAAAATCGGGAAATGTATAGGAATTTTTGGGAGGAGAATCGCTGGACACCCTGTATAGAGCTGCATGCAGATAAAAAAAAAAAAAACACCCGTACTCAGTATTATTTAGGGAAAGTACTGTTTATTAGTCAACAGTTATGCAAGGAGATGATTTGACTGAGATCACACTCAAACTGCTATTTAATTAAGGATACCCATTTTATAGTCTTGGTCCCCTAGAAGGGTCTCCTGACCCCAGGGTCGCCCCAAGGCTGATGAAACAGAATAAATAATTTTTCTGCCATGAGCCAGGATTTGAATCTGGGACCTTGAGCATTGGAAGATCAGCCCTACCACTGAGCTACCTCACTCCCAACAGTGCTGCACCATTCATGGCATGCAAATAACTGGAAATAAATAGCTCAAGATAAGTAGAGATGGTCTAGGCTTGCTAAGGCAGCTAAAGGTCAACAAGGTCTGTAATGCCAACAGAAATAAAAAGTTAAGGTTGATTCCCAAATTATGGGTAATTTTCATGATAGAATTTTAATAATTTTCACTAAAAATTTACATATTCCTAGTACCCAATCCTTCTATTTATGTTGAGTTGTTAATCTCAACAAGTGATTAAGATCTAATGTATTATTTTTTATGGGAGATTTATTGGGCTTTTTTTTTGGTTTGTTTTTTTTTAAGATCAAGTCTGATCAAGATTTAAAGATAGGTGTGATTGGGTAAAAGATGAACTGCATGTACTTGGTATTAAGGTTTTAAACGATAGAATGATAATAACATCGGTTGTAATGATAACAATAAAGGTACTTCATTAACCTTATGACATGAATGTGTTGAGGTACCAATCAAACCCCGTTCTCTGTAAATGGATGGTCCTCCTTTAACTTCGAGCTAACATTACACTTGGGAAAAATTTCTCTACTGGTGCTTTTTTTTGTCTCTAATATATTGATTTTTGCTTGGTATTATGACAAAAAAAAAAATAAATAAATAAAAATGTAATTTAATAAGAATAATAATTTTCTATGGTGAATCTGATAATAATTTGTCCAAAAAAAACAAAACAAAATGGTTATATTATTTTCAAGGCTTCCCAAATTGGCTCTTCTGGTTACATTATTCATGTTAAAGTGAAAATACAAAGTGCATAAACAAATATCATTATTAACAAAAAATAAAAATAATGATCCAAAATGCCTAAGATACCCTTTATAAGTAAAAATAATTTTTTTTTTATGTGGGAATAGTTTTTCTTTACATTTTTCATAATAGGCTTTATTAAGTTGTAGTTGGATTGTTTTTTATTCTGAGTTGTGCTAAGGAAATAGAAACTAAATTTTATGTTTAGCATTAATGTCATCTCTACGTATAGAGACTTGGATTAAATCTCCAGAACTTGGAAGTCTTATTTTCTGAAAGATTTTGTATGAATTCAGTAAGTTTGTTTTTGTGCTGAAAATTTTATTTCTTTCAATCCAGGAAACTAGATGAATTAAAAGTTGTTTGGAATTTTCTATAGCTGCCTTTTTTGTACATATGACAAATATTACAGCAGTTGATTAGGCATAGTCTCTCTTATCTTAATTTGTGTTTTTTAGATATATATATATATATATATATATATATATATATATATATATATATATATTCATTTTTATAATTATTAGTTTGTTTTAAAACTTCTAATTTTTTATTTCATTTTTTTTCCCTCAAACTCATTAGTATGAACCATCAACTCCACCTCCTAGAGTAGCTATTCCTTATGGTTTTATACCTTTTGAAGTTTTAGCAACACCATTACTTCCTCAACGGGCCAGAACTCTTCCTCGATAAGTAAATCATGTTCTTCTGACATTAAAAGTAATCATTAACTATTGTTTGAGGTTTGTTTTCTTAATACTTTTTAACAAATTAGTAGTTTTCAATAACATTTTTTTAGCTGCCAGTTTAACCAATTTTTCATTTGCTGATTCTTAACAATAACCATGTATAGAACTTTTAAGAAAAACTCAGGAAAAAAGAAAGAAAGAAGTTAATACAAGGAATATAATAAATGAAAATATAGATAATTCGTTGAAAAAAATTATAGCAATTTAAATAGTAAAATCTTAGTAATTAAAAGAATGCTAATCAAGAAAAAAATGTCAGATAATAAAAGATATACATTTCCTAAAAAAAAGAAAATTATAATATTGAGTAGAAATAATAGAAAATACAGATAAAAGAAAAAAAAATCAACTTTTTGGGTATACATTTGGGTACATAAATATTAAATATATTGATATAGATGGAATTAAAAATGGGCAGGATGTACAGTCAAAAAGTGTTTACACTCATTCATGCACATCCTGGTTTAATTTCCACCTAACTATGAAAAAATAAACAGATTTAATTTGTATTAATATTATCAAATACATATACTACTGCCTTTGAATAGAATGCATGATTTTTAAATTGTAAATCAAACTCAATCTTTAAAATTCAGAATTTGTAACCCATTGAAACGTTCTTTAAATCTTGTGCTAACATTAACTAACATATAAATGAATGATATATTTCCTTTGTATTTTGATTTTTAATGTATTTACAAAAATTTAGCATTTCTAATATCGACAATATCTATTATTATCATATAATAAATTGACCACTATAGCAGATTAAAATATTACTCTCATTACTATACACTTATTGGTAACTTGTAAGACTTATATCTATTGATAACTTTACACCTATTAATTGAGGGATACAGTTTCATATTGTAGCTCATAAAATACTGCATGCAAATAAAAAAAAATCATATTCCACAAGTATACTGTGTTACAGTTTTCATTTAATGAAATAAATTGTTCCCTTCTATATATATAATGTACTACATTTTTAGTAGTGTAAGTTGAGAGAAAAAAAAAGTACAAAAAGCTACCTAATTTTGAATCTGCGAAGTCTTGGCTAAAAGAAAAATCAAAAAGTTGTTTATGGTTTAAAAGAGATTTATTAAAATATTGTTTTATCTCAATGCTGAATATAAATATGTTTCAATTAATCCTTCTATATTAAGGTTCAATTTATTTATTTAGAATTGATGATGACAGTTGGTTTGTTTTTTACAGTACACTCTTGATTTACAAGGAGTGGGCTGGAATGGATCTGGTAGTGGAAGTGGTCGAGAAGAAGGAGGTTCTAGAGCTTGTGGTGACCAGAGTAAAGGAGGTTCTACATCTAGCTCTGATCCCGGCATATGACAGTTTGGGATGGCCCGGAGGGCCAAAGGAGATCCTCGTCGCACCAGGGTTTCATTTTTGTTATTTTAGTCTATTTACTTTTTCAAATTTTAATTATTAGTTTTGTTTTATTGATTTAATTTTTCAAACTAGTCATTTTAATACTAATCATTTTAGATCAGGTATTATTTATTACTCAATAGAATTTAAATAGTCTTTTAAATAAAAGATAAATTTTATTTTTGGGATAATCCATATATTTATTTAATGTATATGTTTTTTAATAATTCGACATTTTTTCTATCAATCAATTGTGCCAAGTAAAAACAAAATTACTTTTCAAACTCATATCATAATTATAACTGTGATCTTGTAAATATTATTTTATTGTTATTTTATTTAGTTTTTAAAATGTAGCTTTTTATGTAATTTTAAGCTTTAATAGTTATATCTTTATGTTCTCTTATCCGTAGATGTTTTTAATCTTCATGTATACACACACGTTTACATGCATATTCACATACACTTATTTTTCATCTAAACTTTTATTTATTATCATGCAACATTAATTTTTCAAAGCTGCTGGAGCTCAATCAAATGATTAGTAATCTGATGTTGTAAAAATAATTGATGCCAGTTTATCATGTATTATTCAAACAGCAAAAGTCTGAAAGTTTAATTAATTATAATAGAGAGTTGAGAAACAAATTTCAGACAATACATTTAATGGTTTTTTGCGTATGTGCATTATAAGTGTGTGTATTATATGTTTAGAATGTAACAGATACTTTTTTGAATTAAATAATAACCATTGTATGGTTAAGTGCCTTATTATTGCATATTAGTTATTTAGAATTGTAGAGATTATTTATTTCATGAAAACAAAAAAGATAAAGAATTGGGAGTTTCAAAGATGTATAATAATCATTGTTAGAACTTCTTAAGTTATATAATTAAGTTCTTACTTCTTGATATTTGTCTCTTATAGATATTTCAAGCAGCATTATAATATGGAACTGTTAGTTTATGAAATTAATTATTCCTGTAATTTAACCAATTATCATTTAAATTTAAAGTGAATCATTTAAATCGATGATTTATATTATATTTATTCATTGAACAAAATAATTTATAGTTATAATTTTTAAACTGTATTATTTATCTGATTGAGGATAATTCAATTTTAAATATTAAATGTATATCAAACTGTTTTTATTTTTATTTTTTTTTTATTAAGAACAGTGGAATACATATGCGTATATTTATTTCTTAAAAAAAATACGTAATCAATAAAAACTTTATATTAGATTTTAAAACTTGATTACTTTGTGTGATTTATTCACATATATTTAGTGGTTCTCATTTCTTTGAGCTAAACCACATTTGGTGTCTTCTTCCTGCATTTTATTAATTTTGAAAATTTATTTTCCTGTTCATTCAGATAAGTGGTGATCAACAATGGGTTCATGTTTTTTTTAATGTATTTGTACATTTCTGAATTTTATTGGTTCATCTATTTGTTTTTCTTTATTATTAACTGACAATAAGCTTCAGTATTAGCGGATTATCTTTTTCTTCCTCCTTGTGCCATATTTATCATGAAGATGCCTCAACCCAATGTAGCCAAGTCTCACGGTCCATATAGAGTTGCTCTATTTGTTGGAGAGTTTTTCCTCCAATCCTTTGGATATATTTGTCATACAAAATTCTAGGCCTTCCATGTGGCCTCTTGCAAGTAGGTCGAGCTTCTATAACCTTTCTGGATTCCCAGTCCTCGCTCATTTTACAAACATGACACAACCAATTGAGCTGTCTTTTTTGAAGGGTGGGTTTTAGTGCAGGAATTTTCAACTCCTCCCTAATCCTTTCATTTCTTACCCGGTATCTTCTTTTTTTTTCCTGTGACCCTACGTAAGTACTTCATTTTGGCTCCTGTGATTCTGCTTATCTGCTTGTACAGCATAACCCAGCTCTCACTCCTGTAGGTAAGAGTAGGGAGGTACACTGATTTCTATATATCAAGCTTGGTTTTGTCCCCCACACCTCGATGATCAATAATTGTATTACAAATGCTATAATAATTCTATTTGCTATTTGTCGATCTATTTTGCCCTGTCTATTCAGGCTGGTCCCTAAGTAATTGAAGTTCTCAACCACTTCAAGAACCTCACCATTACAGTTCACCTCAACTGTCTCCTCCTCGTCTTGGAAAGAACTAGCACTTAACTCTTAGAAGCATTGATGAGCATCCCCTTTCACTTAAGATCCTCCTGTCCTTCCAGTAGAGCTTGCTTGGATTCAGATTGTCTTTCTGTTTGACACCTCTATCAATCGAAAAAGGAGCAGACTCCGTTTCATTAATCCTTTTGAATTTGCATATACAGATTTTATAGCGGTAATGAGATCTCTGGGAACATTTTTATCAACTAGAGCATTCCATGTAGAAACATGTAGAAAAGCAAGAATGCTTGCGGGACTGAGTCGAAGGCAGCCTTAAGGTCCAGGCATGCTAGGCATGTTCTCCTGTCTCTGTCCCATGCTTTTTCTAATATAGTTCGTAGGACAAAGATATGATCCTGAGTCTGCCTCCCAGGGTGGAAATCTGTCTGTTCCTCTTCCAGTTGCTCCTCCACAATTTGTTGTAACATTTTTACCAGCATGTATATGTACGTTCTGTAAGCCACGGACAAGAGACTAATTGGCCTGTAATTAACACACTCTGTTTGACTGTTTTTTTTTTTGTGGACTGGAATAATCTTAGCCCAGTCAAATCAGCACAAAAAGAGGGGTTTACCTTGCAAAAGATTGGGTCATTCAAATTTCTTTTTTATATTGTTAGGTATGTAGTGAATATAAATAATCCAAGTTTCCGCCCTTGAAAACCTCGAGGGTTTGCTGCATTGCTCCAAAAACCATTGAAATTTTGAACTTTTTTTAGTTTATGCTAAATATCTCCTTTTAAAAGTGAGATAGATAAAAAAAAAAAGGTTATATTTAATCTTAAACAGCTTAAAATTATCTAACATTTTTTTCTAAACCCAACAGGAAGGGAGCAAATTATCGAGCTTTCAAAACGGGTAAAGTTTTGAAAATTCACAAAAAACATATATAAGTTTTTTGTTTCTAACTAATTATCTGTTTTTATAGGTGAATTATATCACATTTTAATATTAAATCACACACAATATACTACAACTTTTATAGGAAAAATATTTTTCTGAACTTAGTAACTTAAATAAAAGTCGCTAAAGAGAAATTGATGTTTTGAAATTTGAAAAAATCTTTATAATTTTATTTTAACCGTTTTCTACTTGTATTAATGAAATAGGTCATCAACAATGAATGGTTTTCATGTTAATTTTAATGCCACATCATTCAGTACTCATAAATGACATAGTTATATTATATTGGAAGTAAAAGAAAAAAAACACACATAGTTTTGGACAATTAAAATATTGTATTAATATTTGTTCATTAATACAACCAAAATAATGTACTGAAAATGTTTTTATATTATTATGCAATTTATCAGTACTGAATGATGTGGCAGAGGACTCTGGGCGCCTATGCCAGTGCCACTTTTCCTCCAATAAGTGTATTTTCTATGAAACTGCTTCTAATATTTTACAAAGTAATCACTGATTTAGAAAGAGAAATGTATTCTCCACATGTTTTATTTCAAGGCCTTTTTCGTTATTTTTGGCCATTTATTTACTAACGGTGCTTGATTTTCAACTTTAGTTTGAACTTCTGGAAAAAATTGAATTTACTGATGTTTTTTATTGCCAACATCAATTGTTTTTTAATATTTTGTCATGTCTTGTTATTCTCTAACTATCCAGCTTTAATAAAAGGCAAATTATGAAGAAATGAAGCCAAATGCTGAATCTCAATGACCAAATAACTGACTCAAGTCAAAGATGTCAATCCGCCATGTTTGGACGCTATTTTGGGACAGTGCGACCACTTTTTTTTTTTATGGGAATATTAGCTTTTTTTTAATTAATAGTTACAAGGAACACAACTATAAGCAATGTATTGCAATGCAGAGGGAAGGTGCACGGTAGGGGGCCCTGGCCCATTGTGTAACACACTTTTCAAAACACCTCCCAACTACCGTCTACCGTTCCAGTCAATCTAAATTCTCTGGACGAGGTTCAAATTGGAGTTACTGAATCGTTCCTTTCAAAACTAAAAGAGCACTATTGTGAAGAAATCGAAGTGAGTAAATTTTGAAAGTTTGCTTCTTATTGGGTTCAGAAAAAAATATTATGTACAAAAATATTATATAATTTCATTATCATCATCATAATCGATCCTCATCTACTGCCTAGGCAGTGTGAGGAAACTTTCTGTAGGAGCTTGACCCAATTGTCACTGTCATGTACCAGCTCATTCCTCTTGGACCATTCTAAACCTCTTTTTGCATATGCTCCCTTCACCCCGTCCTCCCACTTCAACTAGATCTTCCTTTTTCTCTTTTACCTTTCACTCTTGTATTATAAGTACAGCTTGCGGTGCGACTTGGATCCATACGTAGTAGTTGACCAAGCCATCTCAACGTATTCTGTTCTACTACTTCTGTGGCGGGCTTTAGGTAGAGCTTTGTCCTTATTTTGTTTGTTGAGGACCCAGTCTCTTCTTGTCTTTTCTTTGGCTTTTCGGAGAAACCGTATTTCGATGGCCTGAAGCATTGATTGATGCTTGGAAGTTAGGGTCCATGAATCTGAGGAATATATTAAAATTGGGAGAAAGGTAGATTTATATACAGTCACCTTTGTCTTCTTCGCCACCTCATGACAATTCAAAATGCCTGCTTTCACAGCGTTGAACATGCACCATGTTCTGCTCACTGCACCAATGCATTCGGTTATTTCACTGTCTATACAGCCATTCTCGTGTAGGTGTGCTCCCAGGCATTTGGAACTACTTTCTTGTTCACTTATATCGCCATTAATTCTTATAATTCTCATGGCTCTACTTGGCTCCTTTCCTATCCTCATTACCTTTGTTTTAAGCTCTTCTTGGAGTACCTTAATATTAAACTGAAGATCCCTATCATTGTTTGCAAGCACAACCATGTCGTCGGCGAACTCCAGCAATGACATATTTATTCGCCTCAAGTTGTAATGTCCCAGGTGAAACTTTTTAAACCTTTCTTTGCATTTTCTGATGGCTTAATCCAGGACCAAAATGAATAATAGTGGCCTGAGGCTATATCAGATCCCAGCCTAAGTCATGAATTCTTTTGAGGTGTTATTGGTGAATCTTAATACACTTTTGTTATTGTTATAGAGACTTTCCACTGCTAATATGTGTCCTATGCCAACGTCTTTTCCTCTTATGGCCTTAAAGATGTCTCCTTTCTGGACTTTGTCAAACGCCTTGGTTAGATCCATGAAGCTAATGGATAGTTCTTTCTCTTTTTCTAGACCTTTTTCTTGGATTTGTCTCATTGCAAAATTGACGTCCTATGTGCTACAGTTAGTACGGAATCTGTACTGCTCCTCTCCAAGCTTGGTTTCGACCATTCTTCTGATCCTCTTTTCTAGTATCTTGGAGTAGATTTTACTCGGCACACTTAAGAGAGAGATATTGCATTCTGGTGGTTACTGCATTCTTCTGTATTGTCGCCTTTTTTAAAAATTGGGACTATGACAGCTATTTCTCATTTTTTTGAGTATTTTCTTCTCTCCCCACAGTAAGTGTAGCATTGTTATGTTTCTTTATTTAAATAATGATCACAAGAATATGATTAAATGCTTTTATTGACAAACTCATATATCTAGATATATACAACCTCACCTACTGTTATCCTTTAACTAACATTTCGGAACATAATGTACATAACCTTATTTTTACATATATTAACATCTTCCTTCTTGAAGTTATTCTTTCCACCTTGGTGCTCTCACCACACTCTCTGCTCTGGTGACATAACTGTCAAACAAAGTTTCATCCTCATCCTCTGGCTGCTCTTCTTCAGTCTCTTCTCCTTGCTGTTCTTCTTCAACCTCTGCTCCTTGTTGCTCTTCTTCGTGGCCACCATTGTACTCTAAAAGAGGTTTAATGTGCTTTCCATTTCTCTCTATGACTCCCTCACCTTTGTTCTTTCGCAAGAAATATGATTTTGGGCGATCCATCTTCCCGATCACTTTGGCTGGAACCCATTTTGAAAACGGACTTGTCTGCACCTGAACTTTTTCTCCTATATACAAGTCTCTGAGAGGTTTTGTCCCTCTGTCATAATAACCCTTGCTCCTATTAGTTATTCCCTTGTGACTATTAGTTAGGGGCAAGACTCCTCTCAGGCGTCTACTCATCAGTAGTTCAGCAGGGGAGGGCATATCTGCAAATGTTGAATTATTTAATTCGAGCTAGTACAGAAACGGAT